GAAGCTGTATGTTATGGGCATCCCTGGAATAATGCCACTCGCCCAGACACTACAGATAATTTGATTCCCACTGAACGATTGGAGGAGAGCACAGCAGAATGTCTGACTGTAAAGACAGCAGGTGAAATGTAGAGCATTATGGTATCAGTGGAAAATGAGCTCATCCTCCAAACGGGAAGCTGCACTTTTCAGTCATAAGTCATCTAATCATGTACATATAGAGCCAGAAATCGCTGGTTTATCAATAGCCATCATGGATGCTGTCAGTGGTGAGGGTAGCTTGAATCTTGCATGGTCCATGAATCTCCATCGAGTATAGATTTTGCATTCCCTGCACAGATGTGATTTGATAGTGCTGCCTGATTGGCTGCTGCATGAGCTCTATTTATGCTACTGTGCCCCAGGCTGAATCACCTGCCCCGGGCATCTGTATGAATAGGCACATACACACCTGCACACAAACAGAAGTACACACACACACAAAATGATACATTCCCTCTAATGAAGCAGTGAGCCAGAAGTGACTTTACCAGGTGGATGTTCATGTCAACAGCTGTATAACAGTGCAAAGCAAGGCACTCGGTACTGTGAGAGCTGATAAATTATGACATTAGACTGTAGATTATTCACAACCAGAGTGAGACGTGTGAACAAATGTTAGCTAAGAAATTATTAGAGGATACAGGAGTCGTGCTTGAGTCAATAGTGAAATTCTCCTTGACAGTGTTTGCTGGACATAATAGATAGAAACTGGGGCAGTGTAATTTAAAAGAATCAGGAAGATGCCAGGCATGTTATCCATGCATGTGTATATTTCTGTGTGAGAGCAAGTGTGTGCATGTGTGCTCTTCGTTGTTGTACTCATAATCCAACAGACAGACAAATTTGTGTCAGCCTCTGACAGTAAGACGTTTGCATCACGGCAGGAAAACAGCAAATTGCCAACATAAATAAGGTGCCATGCTTTGATTAGGACTATCTTCGCACATCATTATGGTCTAATGAGTGAGTCTCCCCCCTCTCAGTGTCTCACTATAACCACGTCTGCTCACCAGTGTTGCCTTCACAGACTTTGTGTTTGACTAACCCATCTCTGGCTGTGCCTGACACCTGTCAGCCATGATGGATGAAAGTAAGTGAGGTGTCGCCAGGGCAACAGGCAGGCCAGGGGCAGTGATGGACTCCAAAGGGAGGACCGATGGTGGCCCTGCCTTTAGATATAAAGGCTTTATTTAGGCCCAACTGTTTATCAATGGGCTGTCTGGCCTGCTTGCCCTCTGTGAACTGTGATCCTGCTTCACACAGGGACGCTTTAACACCCCAAGGAGGGGTGTGTTCAAGCCAGGCAATAATCCCCTCTCATTGGGCCAAGGCAGCATTTTATTGCCTTGGCAGCTTGCTTGAGTGACACCACCAAATGAATTTGCTGCATCAGTGTCTGACTTTGGAGGACACA